TCAGCATACTCAGAGAAAAGCAGTAAACCTACAAATCTCTTCCTTAGCAGTCAACCCTGGTGGCATATTTCTAGTAAGCTGACTCGCAGACTCATCAATCAGGGCAAGAAACAAGCAAATGTTTCCCAGTGCTGGAACCTGCAGATTTTCATCTTAGGGGCATAGAACTTCTTCCTGTAACTAGAGGTTCTCTGAACTGGAGAAATGCATTATTTCAAACTCTGAGCTTTAAAAAAGAAACACACACACACACACAAGATGCCTCCTTTATTTAGCCAAATGGCTAGAGAATGAGATATCTGAATTATGTGGACAGTCTGATTAATTGTTATAAGGATGACTAGTTTTAAAAGAATCCAGTCCAGAAATAGCCTTTTCTACACTCTATCTTTCTTCTACTCTTTATCTCATAACTAACTCAAGCATTTGAGATCGTGGGACCCTCTCTGCTGCCTCACTTGAGACCTACCCATCAATGATTCCTCCTCTGTTTTGCTTCCATAACTCGTTCCTTTGTAGTTAATTCTTCCCCTCAGTGCACATACATCATACATTGTCAACTTGCTCCTTCTTTTCCCTAGAGTTTATTTCTTTGCTGCTCTGCATTCTCCTTGTAAGAGTCTCCAGCACTCCTTGCCACTTCAGCCCCATTAAAACCAGTGTCCACCGTTAGCAGCCACTTGGATAGCCTGCCACAAAATCACCAGGGACCTTCTGGTGCTTTCCTCAGTCTTCACGTCCATCTGATCTTCCTGGAACTTATTATGTGGATGACTCTGCCCTTTTGAAACACTCCTTTTATGTTTGAATCCTGTATGCAAAGCTTTTTTCCCTGGTTCTCTAACACTTTCTCCCTGCTTGCTAAATGTGTTTATTCCACAAGAATGTATCCATGGCCTCTTCACTCGCTCTTCTCCTACCCTTGTTAGGCCTTTCAAAGTCCTTAGCTTCAACGCTCATCCTTGGGAAAAGAACTCTGAAGTCAGTTATAGTTGACTACAACTCTCTTCCCAGCTCCAGGCCATAGCTCCATCCATCTGCAAACCTCTTCACAGAGAAATCTTGCCTAAATTACCAGCAAACATGCCCAAATGCTTCTTCATGCACCCCCTGAAGCTCCTCTTGCCTCACCCCTCACCCCTGCTGCGTCTGGCCACCTGCAAATATGTCCTTCCTTCTCTAAATAGGAAGAGTCCTCTGCATCAACCTCTCAACACATCCAGTCCTTTCTAGAGAACAGTCTAGTTGTTTGCTTTCAGGTCTCATCTCCCAGGCTAAAGCAAAAACTTCCTACTGCGGGGTCCAGCATTTTCTGGCTCTGAATTCTACAGTGCTTTGCACATAGTAGGTGCTAAAACAATGAATTAAAACAGCCTTAACAACAGCAATTGGAATGAATAAAGCAGAAAAAAATGGTTTAGCAAACAGTTCACTTCCTTTCAATGCTGTTTTATCATGGTTTACTCTGAGCTACTGTGGGCCTAGCTAGACACTGTGGCCATTGCTACTACTGCTTCTATTGACAATACTGCTACTATTACTATTGACAATGACTACAGAGGCTCAGTACTAAATGTGTCAGGCACACGATAAGCATTTATGAAGATTACAGCATTTAATCTTAACCACCAGCCTAAAAGTAATAATATCCTCCCATTTTGCAAGAGGGACAACTGAAACACAGAGGGAAACCAAGGAACTTCCCTGCCTTCAGGAAGCTCTTAGTCCAGCAAAGGAAAACAGTGTGCACACAGTTACAACTGTGCTATGTGCTACAAAGGGAAACAACAGTGCACACGGGACTGCTTAACAAGGGGACATGACTCAGACCAAGGACCAGAGATGCTTCCCAGAGAGAAACCATGCTTAAGCAAGAATCTGAAGAACCAGGAAGAAATACTACATATCAAGGGACTAGGCTAACCTTGAGAATTCGAGGTCCTACAAGAAACCATGTACCACAAATGAGAAGAGTGCTTTCCTAAACAGAGCACCTGTCCCCTGCAACTCTCCTGTGTGTCGACAAGAGATAAAACACTGCTTCATTCAGCCTGTCTGGGAACTGGGTACTGATCACCTACCAAGAATAATTCCTATTTTCCATTCTAATTTAAATGCAGAGTGTCCCTATAATCAAACCCCCTATGGAAGGGTGCCTTAAAAAATCATTCATGGGGCCTTATTATTTTAAAAACTTAACTACCAGGTACAAGTATTAGCAAAATGTAAGAGTGAATAGTATGATAAATTCTAATTTACCAAAAAGGCAGAAACTCTCCAGGAATTCCACAGAAGGAGAGCTCCATGTCATCAAAACAAAGAGGTTTTTGTCTCTGAGTGGTAATAATTATAATCCAATGGTGGCAATTCCTTTACCCAACCCATGTAGTGGGGTCACCTTCTCCATAGAACACAATGGATTTTGAAAATTTGCAACCACTTGAGACACAACTCTCTCGCATTTTCCTTTCTTTTTTTTCTTTTCTTTTGCCTGCAACAAAACAGCATCATACCAAGCCCTTTCTTGTCTATCTAAATTCCCTGTGTCTCCTTTACCATAGCCAACGTCCTATAAATATACAGCTTTTGTGATATCAACGCAAAGTTTTATTGTGCTGTTAGCTTTGATAGAAAGCACTGCAGAAAGTTGTTTAGAAATTAAATATCTAAAACAAGCTATTTTAAAATCCAGGGTCCTCACTATTTCATGTCTGCAATGAAGAAATTTCATCGTGGGGAGAGCAAGCTGTCTTTCACACCATATGGCTAATGGTGGTACATAGCAATTAGCCAGGCTGATTAATGGTGAACAAACTCTAATTTTATGCTTATAATTGAGCCTGCATTTGCACCCCTGGTGCAAATTCAGCACATCCCAACTTCCACTTACAACAGGCAAGAAATCAAGAGAAATAGGATGATGCAGAAAGTGAGAATTTTTTCCTAAAGCCCCCTAAAGAGCATCAGATTTGCAATTTAAAAGACTGTTAGCCACACAATAGATGACAGGTTTGTGTAATAGGGTCATGGCAGCCTGGTAAACAAACAGTACCCCTTACACATCTATAGGCAGCCAAGAAAATCTGTAACATTAGCAAGATGACATTCTGAATATGGTTTTTCCCTCTTAGCACACAGTACAAACATCATTTGCTTCCAGTGGCTTGAGAATTTTAGTTTTGCTATTTTTATGTTTCTGAAAAATAGAAAGAACATCAGCAGTAAAGCACACCAAGCAGCATAATAAAGTGCTTTGGACCAATGAATTTTAAAAACAAGAGAAATATAAATTGCATTAATAGAGGGTAGGCCTGCATGTGAAAGGCACAATACATCTTTAAGTATTTCAAAAACAGAATTATTTCAAGCACAGACCAAACGTGCAGACATGAGATGCAAATCTATGATATTATTTGGCCTACTGGTTGAGATCCATCTTGCGGTCTGTTTAGTATTTTGCCAGAATCACAAGTAGTAGAACATGGAAAATTCATTCTAAGGACATGCTAATTGTAGGAAGCTGAAATACAGATATCAGAAAAACAGTAAGATGAGGGAGCTTATGTTTTAATGTTTCTAAAAATGGATCTTATTTACTTCTGAAGGGTGCAATGAGCTTTATTGTAAAACTGTTATATATAACTCTAACTTTTGCATAAAAGTATCATATAAGCAATCCATGGTCATATTTATTTTTAGGTCCTGCTACTGCTATAGAGAAAAACAACCTGGTTTTGGAGTAACAAAAAGTTTCATAAATCACCAAAATGTAAATTTATGAAACTCTTGTACATTTTGGAATAATGTATTAGAAGTACATTTTTTAAAAAAGGAAAACTTCAATTTTTATGTATGTACATAATTGTATGTAGAATCTCAAGAAGCATATGAATCCCCCTTTTTATTGTACTTCCCACCTGTAGCGTTTTAAGGTGGCTTTCTCTACAAGTTCATGAGCAGCGAATAAAGCCCACCCACGCCGCCAAGGTGTCAGCTGAAGCCCTAAACAGATTGGTCAGTGAGCGCAAGCAGCCAAGTACACTCTGTGCCAGGAAGAGCCCGCGTGGCTAACAAAGCAATTCGAAGCCTTTCTCTCAAACACACTGGCATCTTCATGCTTTATCCAGTTACTTAGAATATATCAGGGGCGAAGTGCTGGTGTTATGTTCTGAAGAATAAGAATGTAAGTTAACTGTCTACTCCCTCACATGTGGAGGCCTGGCTGAGTCCAGGGAAGGGAATTCAGTTGCTTGCCTGTTTCCAAATGTTGCTTCAAAGTCAAAATAAAGACACTGGTTTTTGAGTAACATGAATTTTCAAACCTTTTAGCGAGACATCTTTGCCATCCTTCCAAAATATCAGTGCCTCTGAGAATTACTGGCTATACTGTCAGAGCTATATGTGGGATTAGGAAGAGACCAGATGCATGGAAAGCAGCACAGCAAAAAAAAAAAAAAAAGAAGAAGAAGAAAAGAAAAGAAAAAAAAAAACACCACCACACACAAAACCATCAGCATCCCACAGCAAATGAAAGGAGGAATGATGCCTAGATATGGATAGTCATATTTTTAAGTGGGAGAATTAAAAGGGAGGAACTATAACTTTCATCTCTTATCCAACCAAGGCCTCAGCTGACATCAATAGAACTCTTACTCATTTTACTAGGAATACAGTTGAGCGCATATATTAACACTAAAAGGGTTATATTGTATTTTATTTGATTGTAAGAGAAAAGGGGGGCACTGCTTTGTGCCCATTAACAGTATGATATCAAAATGGAAATGGATGTCTTTCAGGATGAAATCTAATACATAATTGAGAACTACTGTGATGCCTGTGACACTTTACTACCAAATACTCACGTCTAACAGTTCTTTTCAGATTGTCTACTAGGAGCAAGATAAATGTATACCCAAAAATAGATCTGGGTTCACCTAGATCTGAGATACAAATTCATCTTCTCTTTGCTAATTAAAGGGAGAGACCAAGGTATTTCTTACCTGCACATAATCTCGTGTGTGAGCAAGACTCGGCACATTTCTGGGTTCTTGTCTTGGCCTTCGTACACTATGGCCTGAAAGCAAAGGTATGATTTTAGCTACACACAGAATCAAGCAGCAGAAAACAATCACAGCTGAGATTGAGCCCACCGCACCACTGCTGAAGCTAATTAGCTTTCAGGAGCTGAAGGCCACACTGAGCTGACTGTTTCAGATACGTGGTTCAGGATCAACCCAAATTGAATGGAACTGGCCATGTTCCTCTCTGACCTGTTGACCACCTTATGATAATGCACAAAGCTTTGGATGAGTGTATGGGATGGGCTGCTGCTGTTAAGACAGCCACAATTTCTCCTTTCAATACCAAGTAAAAGTAAATGTAATTATCTCGAGGACAAACCCTGAAGGCTTAGCAGATTGAGACACTGTTTATTTAAAATATGAAAAAGCAAGTGAATTTGGTTTTTGCATGATATGTGACTTCCAGCCCGCCCCAACATTTAGTGCTCTAATGCAGAGTAGCAGAAAACAAGTCTGGAAGCTAACCCATTCACTAAATGTGTCGACTTTGAAATGATTCATCAATCAGGAAAAGCCCTCTTCCCGCCAACAGGCTCAAAACATGTGCTCTCACCAGGTGTACACCCACCCAGACAGGAAGACTCACCGGCATATGCTGCATGGAGGCTTAAGCCAGAGTCAGCTACCTCAACTAAGAATTACATCTGACTCAAACCAGCCAATAGTTTTCGTCTGCTTTTTGTAAAATGTGTATAAACATTTTACTGTAGGACGCAGAGAAGTTCCCTGGGACCTGAGCTTCCTCATGGATCTACATGTTAACACCTGGGCCAAAGCAAAACAGACAACTATTAACAGAACAGTACTCTGCACCGGGACACACTTAACTAATTTAACACTGGATCACTGCAGAATCCTCACATAGCACAGCTGCAGAATGTTAATAAAATTATTGACACATTCATATAACCCCAATTGCTTGATGACAAAACTACTTAAATTGACTAGATACTACCCTTACCCAGCACATGGAGATGCTGCAGTGACTAACTTGTAGTTAGCTCTACTGAACTTCATTTTTGAACCCAGGACTTTCAAAACCTGTTAATGATGTGTACAACTGAAGAACCAGTAGGTACAGATCATCCGAACAGGTTCAGTGATGATTTCTGACCACATTTCCAAACAAACTTTGCAACAAATAAAAAAATAATGAAAAGTACCTGCGTGAAGAGAAAACACTTCTCAATCATTGGCCTATCAAAGCCATTTTTTAATGTCTAGCTTATCATAATCCTGTATTTTTAAAGATGTTTTTACTTTGAAGTGACTGTAGATATACAGGAAACTTGCAAGAATATATAAAGAATTCCAGCATACCCTATACCAAGATTCTTCAGATGTTCGCATTTTGCTAAATCTATCTTATCCCTTCTCGCTACTTTTTCCTGAATCATTTATTAGTAAGCCACAGACATGTTCCAAGTATTTTCTTTATAACAAGTATGTATTTCCTTGAAACAAAGAATTCACTTGCAGAATCACAGTACAGTTATCTAAATCAAAAAATTAACATTGGTACAGTACAATAATCCAATCTGCAGACCTTACTGAGATTCACCAATTACCCAATTATAGCCTTTACACAAAAGAAAATCCAATACTAATTACTGCATTCAGCTGCTGTGTCTCCTTTAATAGGAGGCATCTCTAGTCTTCTTATTGCATGACATTGATATTTTTGAAGAATATAGGCCAGTTATTTAATAAGCCATCCCTCAATCTGGGTTTGTCTAAGTGTTCTCAGGCTTAAAGTTAGGAGCTTCAGGCAGGAACAGCACAGAGGCGACACTGAGTTCCTGGTGTATCGAAATGTGCGGTGGTAGACCAGTTCCACCCTGGCAACATAAACAGTGGCCATTTGCTTACTATCCGCCAGAAATCATCAGCCATGTTTCCGGACTGTAAGTTTATGACTTTACCCTTTGTCATTCATAAATTATCTTCTGGAGAGAGAATCTAGATTATGTTAGTATCCTGTCATGCCTCAAATTTTCATTACTACTCTGAATAAGTATAGATGAATCTTTCCTGTATTCTTAAAAGACCTTTCCAAATTCCTAAGAAATTGCTTCACTACAAAACATGCATTAATTAAAAATGTTTTGAAAAGCAAAATTTATATCTGCTTGCTTTGTTTCCTGCAATCATTGCTGAAGTAAAAAAAAAAAAAAATAGTAAATTATTGATTACATCTCATACAGTGCTAAAAATTCTAATGATGTATTTCTGCTAAATCCTCTTATCACTAAGTTGTTTGCATGTTCTTTTAATACTCTTGATAACCTCCCTTTCAACTTTAGTACTTGTCATACTAAACGAAAACAAGTAACGCAGTAAGTAAATTCACAGATATTGGTGAGGTTTCCCCTAGTGTTCAAAAAAAAGTTTGTTTTTGCTAGTGGGAGAAATATCAGTTACATTAGACCTCCTCATTTTGATTCCTTCTATGTGAAACAAATATTATTTTGAGTGAGGCTACTGGTTCCATTGGAATCAGTGGGCCCATGGTAATATTCAATTAAAGACGTGCCGCAGTGCACATAAGCTCATGACTCCACAAATAGGAGACGACATGAACTTTCAGAAGTCGCGTGTTTTGCTTTTTTCTTCTTTGGTTTTTTTGTTTTAGAGACTGAACATCACTTGTTTAAGACCCAGAGCCTCCGTAATACATCTCTTTACCAAATACCACACTGCCACTTCGCTTCTGGCAACGGAGTCAAAACAGAGAATTTTTCTCCAAAATCAAGCATAGAAAAATGAAAACATGAGTTTGGATTTGCTCAGAAATAATTAGGAGCTCTGGGGAGGGGTGGAAGCATGAAGTTTCTGCTTTCTCTCTCCTTAAGGCCTCAACAGAGCGAAATATTTCAGCACATAAAGGCAGAGAAAGAAGTGTTGCCGTGACTTCCAAAATAAGAGCAAGTGAAACTCCACATTGAGCAGGACTAGAATCCTGTAACTACAGAGCACACGAGAACCTCAGTTAAACAGCTAATCCACCCTAACCCGATCCAAATGATTTTTGTTACTGAAAAGAATTATTATTTCACACACACATACACTGTTAAAGATGCACATGCACACACAAACGTACATACAACATATAGAATGTATGGCCCCATTATCAACATGCTGATGGGATCCAGTACTGGAAGATATAATAAATTTATTTTGATGAGTGTCTCTGATACACAGTGGTAACAATAAGACAGATTTCTGGAAAATGCCCCCAAGTACCCCCTCCCGCATGGATACCCAAACAACAACCACACATAATCTTTACATCTGCACTTTAGACACACACATCAAAACTGATTCACAGCTCTGCAAACCCAGATTATGAGCCCAAAAGCATAGGGATCCTCTAACACCAACTTAGGGAGAAGTTTCTAACTTTTCTTTCTAATTTAAATATGTGTCTCCGTGGGGTATGAGTAAAGACCGCTGAGGTTGGCTCAGCTGGGAGATCACAGAAGCATATAAACAGCATTGACTATTTTAAGTGAAACCATTTTAATAGACAGCTGGTTTAGGGCCCAGACAATGGAACACCAAGAAGAAGGCTTATTTTCCTCCTCTGTAGTAAATCATGCGTCTGTTCACCGTGAGGAAGGTAGTCCACTATGACAGCAACAAAGACAACAGTGGTTTAAATAAATCAATGTGTTTATCAGACGTGAGGATGGGAGGCCTGCTACGTGGATGGGTGGGAGAGGAAGAGAAAGCATATAAACTGTATTATTTAAACTAATCAATTGATGATGAATCCAGTTGGGATATGTAACCCAAGAAGCAAAAAGTATAATATTGAGTAGAAGGCAATGCTTAAATTAATCCTGCCAATGGCAAATAAATCTTGTAAAGCATCAGGAATGCTTGTACAGAAAGAAAAGTAAAATGGTAACCAGTAAAAACTTCATCTTAACTTCAAAAATCTGATGATATTGATAAGCAAATTTTGAAAACTGGATATATTTGGAGCATATTAACATTTCTGATATACTGGCCTCTCTTCTCTAAATGTCAGCCTCTAATAAGCAGACAGAAAATATTGCATATTTTTAGTGCTCTCTTCACTTTCAGATTGAAAGTTTTTCCCAGAATAAGTTTTTTTATAATTTAACTAAAGAACAAAACAGAAATTATGAAACTTCACATCCTTATGCAACAACAGTGCTGATAGAGAATAAAATGCCATCTATTTGAAATACTCAATTATAAATTCACCTTAGCATCTTTGAAAATTAGTCAAACAATATATAAAATCTGCCTCAGTGGCCGCTATTTTAAGAGGCATCTGTGAAGTACAGGGATTTCATACCCGCTTTTCCAAAATATCATTAGGTCTCAAAAGTTAATTGAAACTATCTATGGATAAAGACCATACACTAAAATGAAAAATACACAATGAACATACACCTGGACCACACTTCAATAGAATGCCAAAGGAAATACAGAGATTTGAATATGGCTTTTATTGGTTTACTTTTCTAGTAGTTTTAACCACTTATGTCCCAGGCCAAAATAAAAGTAGTGGGAAGAATACTTTTAACTTTGGCTCAAGAAAATCTGAAGGGTTTTTGGGAACAAAATGTTTTTATTATGAATCTTTCTTGGTTTACAATGAAACAATAGAAGACATCATTAGTTTAAGAAAAAGAAAGAAAAGACAAAGAAAGAAGTCATCTATAAAAAACTCCCAATTTTCCATTTAAATCAAAACAGTAATCTTGCAAATATGTTACTCCTTTTTCTACAGACAAAAGAAAAGTCCAAAACTAACGTGCTACCTTAGAGAACAAATTCATGAACATACAAAATACCTCCTCCAACCAGAAGTGAAATGCCCTCCAAACACAAACTTTCAACAAGCCTTTGGCAGCAAATTACCAATAATTGAACTAATAAAAAAAATGAACACCTATAGTCTCAAACACTGTAATAATAATTACATTCAATCACCAAGTTCCACTGCCTGTCATTAAAA